TGTTGCACTGAGGATTGTGGTAATGTAGGTGGTTGAAAGTCATTAAGGTGTCAGAAACTGATTGCATTAGGAGGCTGCCAGTCAGTCTGAATACAAGAATGAAGTGACTGCCTCCCCATTACCACAAAACTCATTTCAACAAGAGTAACTGATAAACAATTCAGTTGTCAGGAGAACTAAGTAGACCCGTCAGATTGAGTTCTTTCAACCCAGAACTATTAAACTTATACATGTTCTGTCACATACTGTCATGGTATCTAACCTACTGCCACTCCCTAAGTACCTTTCTGCCTCTCTTTTCCTGTTATTTATTTATTATTTAAGTTATTTTTGTGAGTGCACTCTTAACTAACTCAGCTTACACAATAACACCTGAAGTACATAAGATTCTGTGTATCACAATAACTTTCTAATGAAATTCCACCACAGGTTAGATGGTGGTAACTGGATAAATAACATCGTAAATGGCATTATATCATGGAGAGCTGTGACTCAGGTGGAGCTGAGGAACCGGTCAGACACCAACAAACCCAACAGATCACCCCAAACCACCGTACTTCCAGCTGTGAGGTAAGCTTACTTGTTGTTTCACAGATCCAAAACCCCTTAATGCCAACAAATACTGCCACTAAACACAAAAGCACAACCAATTTGCTTCTGTGCATCTGGCATTCCTTATAAAAAAGCTACTTTCTCATATGTAACAAGGTAAAATCAACTTGTCTCGAGAATTTTCATTAACGAGTAATTTTCGGACAAAATTATTTCTTAAAGGAAAAGTTTGACAGAAATAGATCCACCATGGGACCACTTCTTTTTGCCATTTTTTAAATCAATGATCAACCTCAAATGTGTTCAAATTATTCTGTTCATCTTTATGCTGATGACACAGTTATTTACTATTCTAACTCTGATATATCTTAAATCCAAATTCTTTACAGTTTGATTTTAGCTTCATCCAAAACGGGTTTCATAGTCCTAAGTTAGTTATGTTTATCTTGTTCAGAGTTCCTTCAAACTGTCAGAGAGATTTCAACCTGCTGGCGTTTGATCCTGATGGAGACGAGGTTAAATGCAGATATGGAAACACATCACTGTCAGAGTGTAACCCCTGCACACCAGCGTCTGTTCTCAACCTCTCATCAGTGAGTAACAAGCAAATATTGTTATTTTAAAGAATGCATATTTAACATAATGCCATATGACTTAAAGTGTGAGGAAGCCAAGAGCCATGCTAGCTGCATCTGGTGGTCACTTGGACTGTATCTCAACAACAATTAAATTGTCTGCCATGCAACGTTCTACAGACATTCATGTTCCCAAGAGGATGAACCTTATAGACTCTGGTGATTTTCTGACTTTTCATCTAGACTTTTCTACGGCAGCTAAATGTTAGCATAATGACTGTGAGTCATAGGCTCATATCATAGGCTAACCTTTAAAATGATTCTTTAACACACATGCAGACAAATTAGTGCTGAATTGTTTTATATTGGGTTAGGTAACAATGAGTGGGACAGTACATGATCTGAGCTCAGCTGAAAATAAGTATAATATTAAAATTTTTAGTGTGATGAAAACAGGGGCAAATCGGGACATTTTTAGTGTTTTACGGGTATTTGTTGGGACTTGGGACAACCAACTTAAAACCTGGACAATCCTGGACAAACCAGGATGTCTGGTCACCGTAGTGCCACTATGAGGCACCACGCTTTCTTATATAGTGCCATCATCAGTTCAAATCCTTAATTTGTCCAATACTTTGGTTTATGAGTGACTCGTACTATGTTTTTAGTGCTAGCAAATGTTAAGCATGCTAACACACTAAACTATGGTGGTGAACATAGTAAACATTATACCTGCTAAACATCGCCATCTTAGCATTGCCACTGTAAATGTTGATGGCAAGCATTTAGCTCAAAAAGCAAAAATTTTGACCTCGTCTTCTTTATTTTTGTCCTTTTGCAGTCTTGTTCGCTGTCATTCAGCCCCACCAATAGCAGTAATGAAGGTCCGTACGCCGTACAGCTGGTGATGGAGGACTTTCCCAGGCAGACTATCACTCTGATTCAAACCAACGGAGTGCTGGTGATGACAACTACCAACAACTCTCTCAGCAAAATACCTGTCCAGTTTGTTTTAAAAGGTCAGATTAAATTTTTTTTTCACAAACTGGGCTCATGGCTACGCTTACTGAAGTCAGAATCGCTTTAGCTGAGTTTGTGACCATCAGTTCTTGGATTGCAAGTTACTTGTAAGCGGCAAACCATGAAAGGCACAACATGTTTTTTTCTTGATTGTTCCAGTGGACCCAGTGGTCCCATCCTGCACAGAGGGACTCTATCTGCCCAAGTTTCTGCCTCCAACACCAGCCAACAGAGCTCGGCTGTACACTCCTGTCAATCAGACCCTGGAAATCAGCATCAATGCGCAGGCAAATATCTCCACGTAAGTCAACAGAAAACATTTTGGGTATTAACACAGACTGCTTGCTTGGTATTAAAGGAGGAGCAGACGCCTCTAGATCAGTGTTTGTCAAATGGGGGAACACGTACCCCTAGGGGTACTTTGGAGTACTGCAGGGGGTATTTAAGATTCAAAAATGTTGATTTAAAAAACATCATGCTTAATTCATAAATAAGTATGTAAAAGATGTAAATTTAAGTTTGATAAATTACATTTTATAATAAATATTCGACAAAAATTTGGTTTGCCATGAATTTAGTGATGTATTGAAACTGTAAAAAGTTGTTGGGAAAGTTGCTTTAGTGGAAAATGGCCACTAGATGGCCAATAAAATCTCCAAAAACAGACAGGAAATGTACTACATTTGAGGCAGGGGCTGTTTTTTAAAAAGGTTATTTAACTTGTTGGTCTGTTTGTTAAAGGATCTCTGAGCTGCTGTTCAGCGGGCCATACAACA